GGGGGGGAGCAGATCAGATGGTGGTCCTCACCTATCAATGGGGTTGGGGGAGGTATTTAGCTCACAGAAAAGCCTGATCCCGCTTGGCTGGGAGACTACCCTGCCAGGGACCCATTAGCACCCGACTGAAGCCCCATCCCAAGGAAATACCCTCAGGAGACTCCAGGCAAAGGCTTCCTGCCCGGGCCAGCAGAAAGGACAAAGTCAGTGGTGTGGAACGGGGGACTGCTGTCCTCCCCTCAGAGCAGAGGAAACTGAGGCCCAGAGAGCCCAAGGGCATGTTGCTGCTGACCAGCATGACTGGGCTAGTTTGCAGCTCTCATCATGCCACCTTCAATGACAAAGAAAGGTGACATGCAGGGACCTCAGAGGACATCCAGCCCTGAAACTTATTTTTAAAGCTGGCTGCTGAGCCTCAGGGAAGGGAGGCTACTGGCCTACGGTCACACAGTGAGGTATCGGCAGAGGCAGGCCTAGATTTCAGGTCTTCTGTGCCTGGCCGCCACCCTGCCATGTCAAGTGGTCATGACCTGAGTCAGCACCCCCAAACAGCCCAGCCACGCCAGACATGACCACCCCCCGAGGCCTGCAGGTACAACCTGGAATCTGACACCAAACGCTGGTGCCTTGGGTCCCACAGAGAAAAGCCCAAGCTGTCGGCTTAGGACAGCAGTGTGGCCTCACCCATCAAGGAAGGTTTTACACCAGCACACCTGGCTGGAACTCAGCTGTATGGTCTCAGGTGAGTTATGTAATGAATCTGAGCCTGAGTTTCCCCATCTGTGAAGTGGGATTAAAATACATGACCCTAGAAGTTACCTTGGGGACTAAGCATCATAAAGTGCCCAGAAGGGGAAGGGCTCTGTGCCATGACAGAGACAAGAACTGGTACCAGCTCCCTCTCCTCCCTGTCATTCCTGCTGAAGAATAACCTAGGCCATAATCCCACCTCCTCCCCCAGTAAGGTTCTGTCTCTTTTGGGGTCCACAGGCCTAGTGTCTGTGCCTGGCGCTGCTCCATCACAGCCCCCCACGTGCCTGCAGGGAGTCGGTCCCTCTGAGCTGCCCCTGTCCCTGGGGTGGGCTTTGTGCTGGGGGCCATCTGGAGGCAGCGGGCTTCAGGGTTACACAGGTGGCATGGAGGGGTGAGTGAGGGCTCCCTCTGGCCAAGGCTGGGGTCCATCCTTTGGGGACCAGCGCTGGCTCCCACCCTGCCTGAACGGCGGGCCGTACCACGAGGGCATCGATGAGAACCGGGCTGGGC